AATCAGAAAAGTGCATTTGTTTACATAAAATCTCACTAAGAAGAAGGTATGGTTTTTAGCTTTATTGCGCCCTAAAAATGTAATGACATCAAAAAGTTTTGAAACTGGCTTAAATATTAGTTAAATAAATGACTTTGATAAATCAGGAAAGAATATGGCATGAAGGGTTACCATTCTGCAAATATGACGTCATTAATGTGAAGCATATCTCTATTTTCAACAAAAAAAGCCTCAAAATGGCACATTTCAAGGGTGATTTTCCTTTAGAAAACAGTGTCCACAGCCGTCGCCCACGTTAATTTTTTGATATTTTGTGCAAAATTCAATTACAGATCACATATCTCAAGATCTTTGTGGGCGATGCCTGTGGACAATGTTATCTGAAAGAAAATTCCATTGAAAATTGGAGTCTTCTGCAACTTTTTAAGAAAATACGGGAAAATGCACATGTTTATGACGTCATAATTAGCATTCAAAACACATGTGAGAAAAATGACTTGTATGATTTTTCTGCATTGAATTTCAATTATTTAAAAAGCATGAGTTTTCAAAATTTACACCAGTTTCATTTTTTAGAAAATAACAGGGCAAAATTTGTATAGAAATCATACCTTCTTCTTGTTCATAGGTGTCAGAAGCAAATTTAAAGTGGTTTCAATCCCTATATTTATATGTATATATTTGCAAAAAAGTGGGGGGGGGGTTATGCCCAACACTCTACCCCCCCCCCCCCCCCTCCCCCGCCCGTTTTGGATGTCTATGTTGTTTCACTTGGCAAACATTAAATCTTTGATGAAAAGCTTTGACATCATGAGTTTGGTATGAATCTCCATGCATCATGGTAATACTTCAATATTTATAAATATCTTACAAAAATATCACGATCTAGCTTATAGCTTAAATTTCTTAAACTTTAAATAGATCTTGAAAATAATTTTTTTTTAATGGCTCCATAAGCTAGACCCTGCTTATCAATTTAGTATCAGAATCTTCAATTTTATAATTTCAGGGGTTGAATAGTCCTGCACATCCTGCAGATTAAAGAAAAATCAATTCCTTGGTCTGTCTTTCACCTCAGAATGAATTTTTCAACAGGAATTCAAATGCCTGCTCAGGCTCCATCAATGTTCCTGATGAATGCTAATTATGCTAACCCCAGCAACCAACAGCAGAGCGTTTACTTTAACAATGGAAACCCTGTTCAGATTGTCGGAGCGCCTTATCCAGTGGTGTATAACTTTATACCTCAGATTTCTGTACAGCCTGTACTAGCTAACACTGGTTCTCTGAACCAAGTCCAAAACAATCAAGGAGCATTTTTTATGCAAGCACCATTCTTAGCAGGGCAGCAAGTGATACAAACCGTAAATGGTTTTAATAACAACATAATCCAGACAAAACAGGAGCCATTGTTATTGACAAACACTGGACAGACAGGGGCTGTGACAAATGGTTCTGCCTGCCAACCACTATCAGTTTTACCACCAACATCCACAGTGCCAAATGCAACCAATTCTGAATTCACCAATCCAGCAAACATTTCTCAGCCAAATGGCACCAGCTGTAGTTTTGCTTTCCAAGTGAATCAGAATCCACTCTCTGCATCATCTCAAGCTTCTGCAGCACAAGTTTTAAACAATTCTGGATCTATCAATGAGGCAAACCATGCTCAGATTAAGGGTACAATCTGTAGTCCTGCTTTCCAAGTTCAGATGAATTCATTGTCAGTATTAACTCAAACTTCCAGAGCATCATCTTCAATCCATTCGGCCAATCAGGTAAACCAATCTCAGAATGAGGGCATACTCAGCAGTAGTCTTGCTTTCCAAATTCATCAGAATCCATGGTCAGCATTATCTCAAACTTCTGCAGCATCAACTTCAATCAACTCTGGATCAGCCAACCAAGCAAATATTTCTCAGTCAGCACAGAGCACAAGTTGTACTCCTGCTCGCCAAGTTCAGGTGAATTCAGTACCAGTTTTATCTCAGACTTCCAGAGTATCAGTACCATCCAACTGTGACTCCAACAATGAAATAGCATCTGACAAGACATTATGTGACAATAAGCCAAATAGTGTATTGCTGCAAACCAGATCCCCATGTGAGAAAACAGCAGACAACATACAGCAGCCAAAGAAATTCAAGCCAAGTATGCCAGGTCAGAAGTGCCGTCCATTCAGAAGTTTTAAATTAGTTTTAGATAATGATACAGAGCCTGTTGTCTCCTCTTCCTTGTGCAAAGCAAGAACTTTAGAAGAGAGTGAAAATGAGGACAGTTCACCTGGTAGTTGTTCTCAAGAAAAGGAAAATGAGACTCGAAGAGCAGACATTGAAGACTTCAATGAACAATCTAGAGAATCTTCAACAATTGGAAAAGATACCAATGATTCAGAGAATTTGAAATGTGCAGGAGATAACAACTCAAATGACTTTGATGATGAACAGTTGAAAGATGATGAAAAGATTAGGGTTAAGTTCAAGGAGAAGGATTTAATGCAGAATACACAGAAAGGCAAGAAAAGTAGATGCAATCTGTGTGGAAATTATGTAGTGAAGTTGGATTTACATTTTGAAAGATACCATAGTACTCCGTCCAAGTGTAAATATTGTGGAAAGATGTTTGAGGATATGTGGGAAACAAAAAAGCATATGCAAAAGGAGCATTTAGAACAATTGAAGAAAGAATTCACTTGTAACATTTGCCAAAAAACATTTTCGGAAAAACAAGATCTAAGAAACCATAAATTTGCAGCTCATGGAAGTAAAAGAAAATTCACTTGTGAGGAGTGTGGAAGAAACTTCAATCATTTATCAACATTGGAAAGTCATCGCAAAGTTCACACTGGGGTCGACAGAAGCTATGTTTGTGAAATATGTGGTAAACGGTTCCCTACCCGAAACACATTGAGGCATGCAAGAATGCATAGTCAGACAAGGGAATGCAAGTGCCCCTATTGTGATAAGTCTTTCAATGAAAAGGATCAACTTCAGAAACATCTACGCTTACATACGGGTGAAAAACCTTACAAATGTAAGCATTGTCCAAAAGCCTTCAACCACAATGTTTCTCTTAAAGCTCATGTGAAGAAGTACCATCCTGATGTGGGACTAAACGCTGAGTCGGATTCTATGGATGTTACAGTGATAGGATAATTTTATGCCCTGAGAAGTGTCTTTTTAGTATTATTTTTTAAAGGTTTTTACTTCTATTTAGAAAGCAAATAATGCATGTCATTTTTCTTGCCTCCATACAGTATTTATAAATTATGTTCAGTTAGCTCTTTGAACATGTTGAATAAAGGTCAAAAACATATTGCTATGGGATGTATTACTGTCTTGTTGGGTCTTCTGCTAAAACTATGCAAGTATGGGTAAAACCTGAATATATTATGTTACAATATGTATAAGAGTCATAGTCATAGACATTGTGTTTAAAAATATAACGGAAAAGGACAACAGAATCTAACCTGGTGCCCCATGCAGTGACCCTACTAAGCTTGTGCTTTAGCAACGAAGCTATCCATGCCAGGAATATCGATCATTTAAATGGCAACAAACAATTAAATCCTTCCACACCCACCCACCCCATCCCCTAAATTGTCTTTGACCTCAGTAGAAAACGCAACCCATGTTCTTATTCTGTCCTCTCGGTGAAGTAGCGCATCCTTTTTTGGAGTGTGTGTGTGTGTGTGGGGGGGGGGGGTGTTAAAACTTCTTCTAGTATCAATTTTTATGCCCTCTTCGAAGGGAGGGGATATAGTTTTCTGCTGTTGGTCGGTCTGTCAGTCCACCATTAGTTTTCGTTCATTTTCTTCGCAGAGTTTGCACATATTGAAATGAAACTTAGGTACATGAGTATCCAAATGATTCATAATATCTAGACCAAGTTCTGTGTTGGGTATGATCGTGCCATTGTGGATAGAGTTATGAACTTTGGACTTCCAGTTATATGGGGGAGGGGGCATATTAATTTATGCTATATTAACCTCTTTTGATTATGCAACAACACAAAATTGGTGGTGGTGGTAGTGGGTTTGCAACTAGACTTTGAATTTTGACACATCATTTTCTGTAGAACAATGTTACCTTTGGAAAATAGCTACATTTCCCAAATCCCACTAGTACTACGGCCGCGGCTCTGAACCTGCATGCTAAGGGCAGATACTAGCAACATTGTTTTAAAGAAAAGGAGAAAATGTTTTGATGGATTTTGAATTGAACCCGAAAACCCTGCATCAGTAAAACATTTAGTAAGGACTGGTACTCTACGGACTAACTAATTTACTCGATCAGGCTGAAACTCGCTGCCCAAACAATTGGACATACTAAGGCCAGATTACGGGGTGCTTGTCCAAATTAAATTTCTTTGAAAACTTTAGATTGATTAACAGCTCTCTACTAAAACAAAGTATAATTTCCCTTATTTTAGAAATGTTAAAGTAGTGTTTGCTAAAATTAACATCTCCAAATACAGAAGAACTTGAGACACCATTGGTCGTTCAGTTGTTAGAATAAAAAAAAAATGTCTGAAGTTTGGCGGCAAAAATGCACCCGCTTCCCGGTAAACGATTTGTTTTCAAAGGGGGGGGGGGTTATTTTGTCATTATAAATTTCAGGCAGTTCATTTTTTCTCTGAAATCCCCCCTCCCTTTCAAAAATGGTAATACTTGGTCCCTGTGTTGTTTCATTTTTAAAAATTGTCGTTTTAAGTACTTGTATATGCCACAGGGACTTGCTCCTGGCGTGTAAAAAATATTAATTAAAAAAAAACCAAACGATATACTATAAACTACACAAGGTGTAGTTTATAGTTTATCGTTTGGTTTTTTTTTTAATAAATATTTTTTACACGCCAGGAGCAAGTCCCTGTGTATATGCAAAACTTTCATCCCCCACCTCTTTAAAAATTTCAAGATCCTAGATCCACCCCTGGTTGTAGCAAAAACATGATAAGAATATGTTAACTTTTTAGATCTTTTGAGTCAGGAGTCGGAAAGGCTACGTTTATCGCTAGCCAATATCCGGAATTTATTCGACCAGCTTGATTTATTCTACCATTACCGTGTCAATATGATATCCGGTGATGTGTTCGTTCTGGCCAAAAAAGTCGTGATGATCCGCAATAAATAGATGAAATGCACAGTTTACCGGGAAGTGCTCGGTTTAAGAGTACCCCTGCAGGACGAGTTGATTCCACACAGAAGCCCTCTAATACCGGGGAGGAAATATCCGGGCGGAAAGAGGAAATAGCCAAGAAGGAAAGTCAACAAAAACGTCTCTACTTTTACCAGAGCGAGCTTCAAAACATGGCCCGAGAATTACCGGGGTACATAGAGATCATATCTGTGATAACAGAGAGCAATAATTTGTAAATAAGGGATTTACAATGCATTTCTTTTTTTTTGGGGGGGGGGGGGACTTGAACACTCGCGTGGTTGGGACACCCCTCCCCCATGTTCTCTACCGCAGGGGTACTTCGACATTTTTATACATGCAAATACTGTAAACCAAATTTTATTTGCAACGACTTTATTTAGCGATGAAGACTACTTCGCGACAGGGACCTATTTAGTTTACTAACGGGATAGGCACCTACAGCAAGTCTAGGGATATCTCGTAAGTCGCGGGATTTCGTAAGCCAACTTTTATTAATTATATCTCTAAAGCTATCGCATTTTTAAGATGAGATCCTTTAATTATCTGTCAAAAAATCATTCAAGATTTGTTTTTAACATATATTATACTCCTTATCTTAGTATTAATTTTGTTTTATGCAAAATCAGCACATGCCCTGATCGGCCATATTTCCGAGAAATCATCAATTTTGGTGTTTGTTTTCTTTATGTTTAAATTACATTATTATTATGCTTTAAAATTTATTAATAAATCAATTCCTACACATAAAAGGAATAAATGATTATAATCGGAAAAAGCCCTGTTTACTTGGAATAAACGCAAATTGAAAAACTTGAAGTGCTGTGCGTGATGTTTTGGGTAAATAAACATGGCGATGCAAGAGTTGCCTATCCTGCTAGTATATAGGTCCCTGGCGACGATTAATTTTTGTGATTAGATTTTTTTTTATTTGTAGTTAATAGACATGTAGAGACTTAAACATGTTAAAGGTCTGGTTCGGGTCGAGAAACATTCGCAATAACAAGGCTCTAGCGAACTCCAGGAAAATTTCTCACTCCCGAATAAAAGTTGGTTTACCAGTCCAGTCCAATACGAAAAATCGTAATATTACAGAATATCGTAATATTATTCTTATATTACTATTTTTCGTAATATAGTTATATTACGAAAACTCGTAATATAGCATGTTGTGAGAGACTCTATTACGAGTTTTCGTAATGTAAGACAAAATTAAGCATTGAAAGAAACTGAATGATGTTAAGGAAAATATGACGTCAGAAATACATTATGCCCCAATGGTACTAGTATCACGTGGTCATTTTGGTCAGTGACGTCTATCGAAAAGTATGAAAATGCAAGAAGAAAGTAACAATAGTAATGGGTGAGTGAAAATTTTGTATTATTATTCTTATATAAGAATTTTCCCAGGGATGGGAACAATTTTCCATAAAACTTCAATGTATCCTAAAACTTGTCATAGTGTTCTATAATCCCCGAATTCCCTATATTGTTCCCGAAGTCTACCCTAAAAATCAGACCCTCATCTCCAACAACGAGATGTCACGGGATAAAACTTGTACAACTTTCACTAGGCTCTGACTCTGCATGCACTTGGATCAAATGCATCAAAACAAAGAAAATGCATGCATATCCACGATGATTTGATGAAACCAGAGATGTATAATCTCTCATGAAACATAACAAGCAGGTTGCATCAGAAAAAAGGGGAGTAACTCTTAGAAGAGTTAGAAATTGCTTATATTACGAATTTTAGTAATATTACGATTTTTCGTATTGGACTGGACTGTTTACCATATGATATTTTTCTATGATACACTCATATTGTATCAATTGAAGATCCAAAATTTAACCTAAAGCAATTCATAGTGAGTACTCTGAAAGACTTGAAAGACTTTGACAGACAGTTCTGAGCACCTCAATGGGAAATACTCAAAGAAAAGGAGGATAGATGAAGTATTCAGAATTTATCAATATATTGCTAAATTGTCTTTCACTGTAATTTCAATCTCTTTACACCTGCAATTTAACTTTTTCAACATGTTCATTGGTCACCAAATTGATAAGAATAGGAAATCCCCTTTATCTTTTTTATTTATTTATTTATTTTTTTTTTTTAGAAACAAAATTTGGGACGAAGAAAAAAGAAAGGGTCCATGAGTGTTCCTCTTAAAGCACTTGTAATGTGGAATGCACATTAGAGTTGCGAATTTGTACCATGTATTTTCTGATTTAAAAGCTGTAGGACTTACAATTCAATTATTGAACGCATTTAATCATAATCTGCAATGATGGTAACAATATTTTATATTGAACAGTGTTGGATTATCTTAATTCTAATGGAAATCCAGTGAAAAATAAACAGAAACCAAAGAAATAGTATTAAATATATTATGCTATGTATTAATTATCTTTCAGTAAATATCAGCAGCGACTCCCATACGACCTTCTGTCCGGTCTGGCTAGCTCCCTGCTGGATGGTACCGTGTTTGAAATTGTCCGCAGTCTACAGGAAGTCCAGCAGTTAGAGGAGAGACATCTCCACACACAGCGAGTCAAACTCGTCAATGATCACAAAGGTTAGACACACACAGCGAGTCAAACTCGTCAATGATCACAAAGGTTAGACACATACACACAGCGAGTCAAACTAGTCAAAGATCACAAAGGTTAGACACATACACACAGCGAGTCAAACTCGTCAATGATCACAAAGGTTAGACACATACACACAGCGAGTCAAACTCGTCAATGATCACAAAGGTTAGATACATACACACAGTGAGTCAATCTTATCAATGATCACAAAGGTTAGGCACATACACACGGTGAGTCAAATTCGTCAATGATCACAAAGGTTAGACACATACACACAGCGAGTCAAACACATCAATGATCACAAAGGTTAGACACATACACACAGTGAGTCAAACTCGTCAATGATCACAAAGGTTAGACACATACACACAGCGAGTCAAACTCGTCAATGATCACAAAGGTTAGACACATACACACAGCGAGTCAAACTCGTCAATGATCACAAAGGTTAGACACATACACACAGCGAGTCAAACTCGTCAATGATCACAAAGGTTAGACACATACACACGGTGAGTCAATCTTATCAATGATCACAAAGGTTAGACACATACACACAGTGAGTCAATCTTATCAATGATCACAAAGGTTAGACACATACACACGGTGAGTCAAACTCGTCAATGATCACAAAGGTTAGACACATACACACAGTGAGTCAATCTTATCAATGATCACAAAGGTTAGACACATACACACGGTGAGTCAAACACATCAATGATCACAAAGGTTAGACACATACACACAGCGAGTCAAACTCGTCAATGATCACAAAGGTTAGACACACACAGCGAGTCAAACACATCAATGATCACAAAGGTTAGACACATACACACAGCGAGTCAAACTCGTCAATGATCACAAAGGTTAGACACACACAGCGAGTCAAACACATCAATGATCACAAAGGTTAGACACATACACACAGCGAGTCAAACTAGTCAAAGATCACAAAGGTTAGACACATACACACAGCGAGTCAAACTCGTCAATGATCACAAAGGTTAGACACATACACACAGCGAGTCAAACTCGTCAATGATCACAAAGGTTAGATACATACACACAGTGAGTCAATCTTATCAATGATCACAAAGGTTAGGCACATACACACGGTGAGTCAAATTCGTCAATGATCACAAAGGTTAGACACATACACACGGTGAGTCAAACTCGTCAATGATCACAAAGGTTAGACACATACACACAGCGAGTCAAACTCGTCAATGATCACAAAGGTTAGACACATACACACAGTAAGTCAATCTTATCAATGATCACAAAGGTTAGACACATACACACAGCGAGTCAAACACATCAATGATCACAAAGGTTAGACACATACACACAGCGAGTCAAACTCGTCAATGATCACAAAGGTTAGACACATACACACAGCGAGTCAAACTCGTCAATGATCACAAAGGTTAGACACATACACACAGCGAGTCAAACTCGTCAATGATCACAAAGGTTAGACACATACACACAGCGAGTCAAACTCGTCAATGATCACAAAGGTTAGACACATACACACAGCGAGTCAATCTTATCAATGATCACAAAGGTTAGACACATACACACAGCGAGTCAAACTCGTCAATGATCACAAAGGTTAGACACATACACACAGCGAGTCAAACTCATCAATGATCACAAAGGTTAGACACATACACACAGTGAGTCAATCTTATCAATGATCACAAAGGTTAGACACATACACACAGCGAGTCAAACTCGTCAATGATCACAAAGGTTAGACACATACACACAGCGAGTCAAACTCGTCAATGATCACAAAGGTTAGACACATACACACAGTGAGTAAATCTTATCAATGATCACAAAGGTTAGACACATACACACGGTGAGTCAAACTCGTCAATGATCACAAAGGTTAGACACATACACACAGCGAGTCAAACTCGTCAATGATCACAAAGGTTAGACACATACACACAGCGAGTCAAACTCGTCAATGATCACAAAGGTTAGACACATACACACAGCGAGTCAAACTAGTCAAAGATCACAAAGGTTAGACACATACACACAGCGAGTCAAACTCGTCAATGATCACAAAGGTTAGACACATACACACAGCGAGTCAAACTCGTCAATGATCACAAAGGTTAGACACATACACACAGCGAGTCAAACTCGTCAATGATCACAAAGGTTAGACACATACACACGGTGAGTCAAACTCGTCAATGATCACAAAGGTTAGACACATACACACAGCGAGTCAAACTCGTCAATGATCACAAAGGTTAGACACATACACACAGCGAGTCAAACTCGTCAATGATCACAAAGGTTAGACACATACACACAGCGAGTCAAACTGGTCAATGATCACAAAGGTTTGACACATACACACAGTGAGTCAATCTTATCAATGATCACAAAGGTTAGACACATACACACAGCGAGTCAAACTCGTCAATGATCACAAAGGTTAGACACATACACACAGCGAGTCAAACTCGTCAATGATCACAAAGGTTAGACACATACACACAGCGAGTCAATCTTATCAATGATCACAAAGGTTAGACACATACACACAGCGAGTCAAACTCGTCAATGATCACAAAGGTTAGACACATACACACAGCGAGTCAAACTCGTCAATGATCACAAAGGTTAGACACATACACACAGTGAGTCAATCTTATCAATGATCACAAAGGTTAGACACATACACACAGCGAGTCAAACTCGTCAATGATCACAAAGTTTAGACACATACACACAGCGAGTCAAACTCGTCAATGATCACAAAGGTTAGACACATACACACAGCGAGTCAAACTCGTCAATGATCACAAAGGTTAGACACATACACACAGCGAGTACAACTCGTCAATGATCACAAAGGTTAGACACATACACACAGTGAGTCAATCTTATCAATGATCACAAAGGTTAGACACATACACACGGTGAGTCAAACTCGTCAATGATCACAAAGGTTAGACACATACACACAGCGAGTCAAACTCGTCAATGATCACAAAGGTTAGACACATACACACAGCGAGTCAAACTCGTCAATGATCACAAAGGTTAGACACATACACACAGCGAGTCAAACTAGTCAAAGATCACAAAGGTTAGACACATACACACAGCGAGTCAAACTCGTCAATGATCACAAAGGTTAGACACATACACACAGCGAGTCAAACTCGTCAATGATCACAAAGGTTAGACACATACACACAGCGAGTCAAACTCGTCAATGATCACAAAGGTTAGACACATACACACAGCGAGTCAAACTGGTCAATGATCACAAAGGTTAGACACATACACACGGTGAGTCAAACTCGTCAATGATCACAAAGGTTAGACACATACACACAGCGAGTCAAACTCGTCAATGATCACAAAGGTTAGACACATACACACAGCGAGTCAAACTGGTCAATGATCACAAAGGTTTGACACATACACACAGTGAGTCAATCTTATCAATGATCACAAAGGTTAGACACATACACACAGCGAGTCAAACTCGTCAATGATCACAAAGGTTAGACACATACACACAGCGAGTCAAACTCGTCAATGATCACAAAGGTTAGACACATACACACAGCGAGTCAATCTTATCAATGATCACAAAGGTTAGACACATACACACAGCGAGTCAAACTCGTCAATGATCACAAAGGTTAGACACATACACACAGCGAGTCAAACTCGTCAATGATCACAAAGGTTAGACACATACACACAGTGAGTCAATCTTATCAATGATCACAAAGGTTAGACACATACACACAGCGAGTCAAACTCGTCAATGATCACAAAGGTTAGACACATACACACAGCGAGTCAAACTCGTCAATGATCACAAAGGTTAGACACATACACACAGCGAGTCAAACTCGTCAATGATCACAAACGTTAGACACATACACACAGCGAGTACAACTCGTCAATGATCACAAAGGTTAGACACATACACACAGTGAGTCAATCTTATCAATGATCACAAAGGTTAGACACATACACACGGTGAGTCAAACTCGTCAATGATCACAAAGGTTAGACACATACACACGGTGAGTCAAACTCGTCAATGATCACAAAGGTTAGACACATACACACAGCGAGTCAAACTCGTCAATGATCACAAAGGTTAGACACATACACACAGCGAGTCAAACTAGTCAAAGATCACAAAGGTTAGACACATACACACAGCGAGTCAAACTCGTCAATGATCACAAAGGTTAGACACATACACACAGCGAGTCAAACTCGTCAATGATCACAAAGGTTAGACACATACACACAGCGAGTCAAACTCGTCAATGATCACAAAGGTTAGACACATACACACAGCGAGTCAAACACATCAATGATAAACTTTATGGTAAGACACATGTATTCAAAATCATCAATGACCACAAGTAATCCTTTGGCTTGAAATCTTAATACTTTTGAAATTTCTAGATAGCAAATTGTCACAGTGTCTAGGCATGATTCAATTACTTACCCTACTTTTGATGAGGTGTACTTATTGTGTTATGAAGTGATGGACCTGGCCATGCATTGTGTGACTAACTTATGTAAGAATTATACAATACCTTACTAGGTCTGTATAGTCTAAAAGACAGTAAACTGTAAATTACTAAATACAACTCGCAAGATTAAATTACTCGCCTTTATATTTATGGTGCTGAAATCCATGTAAAATCCCTTTATCAATCGTCCTGTCATGAATTCATGTTCTTGTGATTTAACATTAAAGTGCTCTTTTGTGATAATAGGAACTTGTTAGAAATAAGGAATCTACAGTAGTCAAAAGGACACTAAATTCAAAAGTTAATTGTTAACATTTTAAATATGATAATTTTCACTCTAAGTCTTGTCTCGAGCAAATTTTATATTCTGTTAAAGCATATCAGATATATTTCAACAATTTAACAACTGTTAAAAAAAAGTGGAAATTTATTATATATAAATAAAAAAAACTAACAATTTTCCATTTAGGGATATTGGATTTTTCCATACTGGCATTTGTCATTTAATGTACACAATGAAACAGGTTTTTTTTTAAATAGGCAATTTATTAAGACAATAAAATTGTAAGCAAATAGGTTAGTCAGAGGGAAATCTGAGTATGTCACTAAGAACTGCATTATGTACATGATGAAGGGAACTCACTCTATGGTATATCTAAGGCTGCACCAATCAGAGAACACGAAATTCTCAATTACTTCACAAAGAAAGATCTTGTTCACTCAATGTCCTTAATACCTCATTTTGACATACACAAAGCTTTGAGTGCTTACAATATCTCTGTTGATATTAAATGACAGAGTCAAAGGTCAAGAGTCAAATGCTGCTCTGTTCTTGTCTTGAGATCATTTGCACAACAGACATCAACTTGAAATCCTGGCACCTGTTTCAGAGTACAATCGATTTAATAAAAAATCAAAGAAATTTAAAGTTTGATCCTCATAAATACTACAACACAGGTCATATATATTTTTTAAAAACATTTCTTGTTTTATTTACATGTACAGCACAGAGACATGAGCTGCAAAAGAGACACAAAGAATTACTACAGAGTTGTCAGATGAAGCCTCACAATTTACCCATAGTGGAGGCTCAAATTGAGAGAGAGAAAGAGGTATCAAATACAAATAATTTAATTTTGTTTGTATTCTAGTCTCTCATTGGTTGATTACCAAAAAGGAATGCAAATTATTTCTTGATAACCTGGTTTGGTATGGGGACACACCCCCTCGACAACCAGCTGAATCATCTGTATCCATACAATCACCTCATTTCCAGTCCTTGGAATTCATGGGAAATTCCAGATTGAATAAATGTACTTTTAACTTCAAACAATAGCTCGATCCTACCTCGTGTACACAAACATCATGGCTGCTAGATCTGTATATCATTTATTACTTCCCCTTGTTTCATATCACCTCTGTTACTAGGGATGTATTATTGACCGGCAAATTTGAACTCATAAAAAGCCATACAATTTTACACTCACAGTTGTTTAATTATTTTAAAATTAAATTATAAGACTTTGCAGATTATAAAGCATAAACTGACCCAAACCAGGTTATCATCAAATAATTTGGCCAAGAATTAGAGTCATTCCTTAAATGGATTCGAAATGTTTCAGAAATTTAACTGAGTTTATAAAGAAAAAATATTAATACATAAAAAAATAATGAAACACTGCTTGAGAAGGTCTGGATCTTCACTTGTCATTTTGTATATACTGTAAAACTCAGTTATAACGAAGTCACTGGGACCTGTGAAATTACCTCGCTATATCAGTAATTCATTATAACCGTATAAGAAAGACATTAAATTTATGTAGCTGGGGATCCAAGATGATTTCGCTATATCCATAAATTCGCAATATCTGTTTTCATACTAAATGAGTTTTGCTGTATCCCAGTCTTAGAAAACGAATTAAATTTTGTCTAGTTTTCTGTATAGCTGCAGATCTATAACTCTTTGGTCTGAAAAGAATAGAAAAAATGAAAGGGCTAGTACCAGTCATAGAAAAAAAACTATTAAATTTATAGAGCACAACAAGTTGCCCCTTATCTGGAATAATATTTATTATATTCCAATATAGATATTAGGCTTCAGATTTCTGATGTTTAGGTCTTCAATCATTAGTGAAGATTATAATGTAAGCATCTTATGCTTCTTATTTTCAGACAATGGAGAAGAGGTGTGAAGAAGAGGTGAAGAAGAAGGATATGAAGATAATTATGGAGTTAGATCAGAAGGTGATGGATCAGCAGGTCATGTTAGAGAAGGCGGGAGTTCCGGGGTTCTATGTCACCAACAAGAGCATTGACGTCAGACTACAGATGTATCTCCTGGAGTTTATCACCAGAATGGGACACATGCAGCCACCTTGAAGCTGAGCATTAGGTGGTAGTTGTTTTGTTTAAAGTAAAGAAATCTTTTTGTTGATTTAGAAAAAACAAGAGATTAATGAATTTATTCAAGTTGTTCTCCCTAAGACTTAAGAAAATGGACGTTTTTACATGGGAATAAAAATGGACAAAAACAACTGTAAAACATATGAACATGCATGATTTTACATGTTATAGCACACAGGCTTCTTGCTTAAACTATTCTTCTGTAAAACAAACTTTCGTTAGGGTAAATTGTCATGGCCTGAGAACTAGCATTTAAGAGTAAATAATGATTTCATGAGGAATTGGTTTTTTCGTAACAAGATTTCTAAGAAGTAATTCATGAGAAAATTACATTACATTTCATGATAAACTTAATTTCGCGAATCTATTCATATATGTGCATCGAAAACAAGACAAATTAATCCCTCATGAAAAATTATGGATTTCTTAGTAAATTAAAAAAAAAAAATATCCGAAGTGAAATATAATGTGTGAGCAACATTTTGAGCATTTGAAAACTTACTAGTAATCATCAAGAGACTATATGATATTGAAGAAAAAGTGAATGTTTTTGTCCTTAATATTAAAAACACATTGTATGGTTGATTGGTTTGAGATACATTTCTTCATAATATTGTACACTGTCCATATTTTAAATATATGTTACATGAACATAATCTAAAATGAATTTATAATGTAATAAAATTTAAGATTCTGTTGTTGTACTTCTTTCATCACGCTGAGTGCAAAGAAAGTAAGAAATTTTGCTTGAAATGAATGAATTTTACCAATTGATTAATACCCTGTAAAGAAGTCGGTTCACTTTATGCATAAAATGGCCCTGTAGATATACTAATTGATTTATTAACACTTGATTCTCTATTGAAGCTTTAAAGTAAAGTAGAGAATTGGTACATTCATATCCTTTTAAAATCTTTCTCCTAAAAGTCCAGGGGCCCGTTTTACAAAAGGACTTACGACTTAAGAACAAATTTAATTCTTTTAACTTTAACATATAACTTTTAAATAAACATTATATCAAAAATTATTTCAAACTTTTAAAAAGGAATGTGGTCAGATATTTTTACACTAACAATTTCAAAGAGAAATATTAATTTTGTTTAATATTACACCAATCTGATGTTTTTGGTCTTAGTCGTAAGTTCTTTTGTAAAACGAGCCACAGATCTTGGAGAACTGGCTTTTTGAAATTGCAATGTTCTTGAATTTTTATGTAAACAGGTAAAATTGAGTACTTTCAGTGAAGAAAAATAATATGAGCCCATTTTCTGATCTAAAAAATAAAACATGTCCATTAATCCTCAGAAACAGTTTTATCATTTACTAGTTGCATATTTTAGATCAGAGAGTGCACTCTATATCAAACATCAAGAAATAGCTTTAAAAATTGGCCGTTTTTGTACACTTTTTCAGAATATGAGGAAATCCGCATTTCGTAACGTCATAATGCACTGACTAGCCAGAATATGACGTCATTTTTTATTGATACACAGTCACCGAAGATCTAAGTGATATTTAATGCAAATTACTAAAATTATGCAGTTTCAGTTTTTCAGAAATTCACAGGGCCAAATAAGGCAAAAGTGAACCTTGTTCTTTGAAAGAACAAGGACCACTTTTATCTTATTTGGCAATCTGAACTTATGAAAAACAGAAACTGAATAGTTTTAGTTAATAATGCATTGAATATCACTTAGATCTTTGGTGATTTCGTACCTATAAAAAATGACATAATTTTCAGTCAGTGCATTATGACCACACAAAATGCGTCAATTTCCTCATATTCTGAAAAAGTCTACAAAATCGGCAATTTTTAAAGCTATTTTAATTCACCTGAGCTGAAAGCTCAAGTGAGCTTTTCTGATCACCCATTGTCAGTGGCCCGTCTGTCTAGCTGTCCGTCCGTCCGTCTGTAAACTTTTCACATTTTTAATTTCTTCTCAAGACCACTGGGCCAATTTTCACCAAACTTGGTACATAGCATCCTTGGGTGAAGGGAAATTTAAATTGTTAAAATCAAGGGCTAAGACCCCTTCCAAGGGGAGATAATCAATAAAATACAAAAATAGGGTCAGGTCATTAAAAAATCTTCTTCTCAAGAACCACTGGGCCAGGAAAGATGAAACTTATTTGGAAGTATCCTAGGGAAGTGTAGATTCTAAATTGTTTAATTGATAACCCCGGGGGTAGGGCGGGGCCACAATAGGGAATCTGAGTTTTAGATAGAAATATATAGGAAAAAACTTTAAAAATCTTTTTCTCAAGAACCACTGGGCCAGAAAACCTGAAACTTGTTTGGAAGTATCCTGGCATTTGTAGATTCTAAATTGATCAAATCATGACCCCCAGGGTAGGGCGGGGCCACAATAGGGAATCCAAGTTTTACATAGAAATATATATGAAAAAACTTTTAAAATCTTCTTTTCAAGAACCACAGGGCCAAAAAAGCTGAAACTTATGTGGAAGGATCTTTGGATAATGTAGATTCTAAATTGTTCAAATCATGACCCCTGGTGGTAGGGCGTGGTCACAATTTGTATTACAAAGGGGGGAAATCTTCTAAAGAACAGCATGGCCAGTTTCCCAGGTGAGCGATGTGGCCCATGGGCCTCTTGTTTGATACTTAATATAGAGCGCACCCTCTGATCTAAAATATGCTACTACTAAATGATAAAACTGTTTCTAGGGATTAAAAGACGTTTTTTTTAGCTCACCTCAACGAAGTTGGGGGGAGCTTATGTGATACCCTCGGCGTCAGTGTCGGCGTCGGCGTCCCAGGTTAAGGTTAAGTTTTTGGGAGCAGTTTTCTTTTTAATTACCTCTGTGTCTGATATTGATTAGACATGCATGGAAGATGGTTTAAGTGTGTTTCGTTGTACCAGACAAAGTTTCAGATGCTGCAATTTCAGCAAAGGAATGACCAGGTTAATGTTTTTGGAGCAGGTTAACATTTTTGTGCAGATTTTGGTGTAGGTTTCATTTCCAAGTAACTATAAGCCCTATATTGACCAAAATTGCAGTTGCATGGATGATACATATAAGGATGCATGCTACCGGGCTTGCTTCAGATGCTAAATCTGACCTACATTTTCCGGTTGAGTGAACAAGTAAAAGTTTTTGGTGCAGGTTTCATTTCCAAGTAACTATAAGCCCTATGTTGACCAAACTTGCATGGATGATACATTTAAGGATGCATACTACCAGGCTTGCTTCGGATGCTGAAACTGACCTACATTTTCCAGTTGAGCGAACAAGTTAATGTTTTTGGTGCAGGTTTCATTTGCAAGTAACTTTAAGCCCTATGTTTACCAAACTTGCATGGATGATACATCTAAGGATGCTCACTACCGGGCTTGCTTCGGATGCTGAATCTAACCTACATTTTCCAGTTGAGTGAACAGGTAAAAGTTTTAAGCTCACCTGAGCCAAAGGCTCAAGTGAGCTTTTCTGATCACATTTTGTCCGGCGTCCGTCTGTCTGTCTGTCTTTAAAAATCTTCTTCTCAAGAACCACTGAGCCAGGAAAGATGAAACTCATGTGGAATCATTTTCAGGTAGTGTAGATTCAAGTTTATTCAAATCATGACCCCTGGGGCTAGGGTGGGGCCAAAATGGCCGACCCAAATTTTACATAGGAATATATAGGAAAAATCTTTGAAAATCTTCTTTTCAAGAACCACTGGGCCAGAAAAGATAAAACTCATGTGGAATCATCCTCATGTAGTGTAGATTCAAGTTTGATCAATTCATGACCCCTGGGGCTAGGGTGAGGCCAAAATGGCGACCCAAGTTTTTACATAGGGATTTAAAGGGAAACCTTTTAAAATCATCTTTTCAAGTACTTCAAAGCTATGATTAGTGATATTAATTTGGAATCATCTTCAGGTAGTGTAGATTCTAGTTTGTTCAAATCATGAACTCCTGGGTGGGGTTAAATTCAAGCCCCCCCCACCCCCCCCCCCACTAAACTTTCAGTTCTGATCTGATATGTTCCTTTTCCTAGTCAATGTGCTCAGGTGAGCGCTGTGGCCCCTAGGCCTCTTGTTGGTGCAGATTTCATTTTCAAGGAACTATGAGTTCTTTAATGACCAATCTTGAATAGATGATACATCTAAGGATGCAATTACTACCAGGGCTTGCCTCGGATGCTGAATCTGACCTACTTTTTGTGGATGAGTGTAAATGTTAGTTTTTGATGCATGTTTCATTTACAATAAACTATGAGCCCTATAATGAGCAAACTTGCATGGATGAAACATCTAAGGATGCACACTAATGGACTTGCTTCGGATGCTGAATTTGACATACATTTTTCAGAAAATAGACAAGGTAAAAGTTATGGTTGCAGGTCTATTACCAAAAACTATAAGGCTTATATAACACTGTAAAAACCAAACTTGCACAAATGCTGCATCAAGAGATGAAAACTCTCAAATTTGCTTCAGATGCTGGATTTTCATTACATTTTCATGAAGAAGATCTAGTTAGTTTATTAAATTTTTTATGTACTAGGTCTATTTCAAAGTATCAGATCAAAATTGCTTGAAAATTTTATTTTTTGAATGTATACTTTTTGTTGGTTAATTGTGTGACTTTCCCTTACTTTAAGACAACATTCGTTGAGGTGAGCTCTGTAATCTCTAATTACCTATGTTTTTAGATCAAAGAGTGCGCTGGTATTATTTTTCTTTACTGAAAGTGCTCAATTATTTCTGTTCATCTTAAAATGCAAGAACGTTCCAATTTCATAAAGCCAGTTCTCCAACACCTGGACTTTTAGGAGAAAATTTTTAAAAAGAAATGAAAGTACTAAGTTTCTATTCTATTTCAATGCCTCAAATGGAAAATCAAGTGTTAAACAATCAATTGGTATATCTACAGGGCCATTTTATTAGCTCTTCTGAGCCAAATGGAGCTAATGCTATGGCCATTTGTGTGGTGTGCGTTAACTTTTTAGAAAATGGGCCATAACTCAAGAACCCCTTGGCCAATCAGTTTCAAGTTTGTCACAGGGTATCCTTGGCCCAAGGGCTACCATTTATATTAAAATAAGGGTTGGGACCCTAAAACAAGGGGAGGTAATCAGGAAAATAAAACCAAAGGTACTGGTTGCTTAAAAATCTTCTCCTCCAGAACCACCAGGCAGATTTCACCAAACTTACATACAAGGATCAGGATATGTTGAAGATTGAAATTTGTTCAAGGCATGACCCTGGGGCAAAGGGCGTGGTCTCAAGGTTATTTCAAAGTTGACCTAAATTTACAAATAATAAAAATGTTCATATTTTGCTTACTATAAGGACTAGGATCATCAAACCTTGTAAGTTGATGCATCTTAGGACTTCACATCATGTTAACTCAAAAGTAGGTCACGGTGACCTACTTTGTTAATTTTGTGGGCATTTGTTTTCAAATTGATTTGAAGGCATATTTTGGACACTTTAAGGCCTATGATCATTAAACTTTATAAGTTGATGCATCTTGGGTCCTTGAACAAAGTCAACTTAAAAGTTGGTCACCATTACCTACTTTTTGAACTTAATGACTTATCCTTTTTAAAACATTTAATCCCATTATTTCAGGCACAGAGAGGGTTAAAATCATCAAATCTTGTAAGTTGCTGCATCTTGGGACCTAAAAACATATTCATGAAAAAGTAGGTCACTGTGACCTACTTTTAGAATTTTGCAGACATTTGTTTTCAAATTTGTTTAAAAGGCATATTTTGATTACCTTCAGACCTCTGATCATCAAACTTGGTAAGCAGATGCATCTTGGAACTCTGAAAAATGTAAACAAAAATGTAGGTCTCGGTGACCTTCTTCCGACATTGTATAGCTATATTTAAGTATCTTTGGTATTTATTGGCTTAAAATCATCAAACTTTGTGAATTGATGCATCTTGGGTTTTCGGAGAGTGACGACCAAAAATAAGATCATGGTGACCTACTTTGACATTTTATGGCTATATTTATGTATCTCTAGTACTTATTGACTTAGAATCATCAAACTTTGTTAGTTGATACATTTTGGGTTTTCCAAGAATGTAGACCTAAAAGTAGGTCAAGGTGACCTACTTTTGAATATCTCAAATACTTATTGGCTTAGAATCTCCAATATTACTTTGTCTATTAATGCATCTTGAGTCCTCAGAAAACTTTAATCTTAAAGTAGGCCACTGTGACCTACTCATGTTTTTTTAATAGCTTTATTAAAATATCTTCAGTCCTAATTGGCTAAGAATCATCCAACTTTGTCAGTAGATGCAACTTGGGTGTTAGGATACTTAGGGTTAGAGGCTTCAAATACAAGTGGTTGTACAATTTATCAGAAGAGCGATTCAAGGCCCTTGGGCCCCTTGTTAGCTCACCTGAGCCAAAGGCTCAAGCGAGCTTTTCTGATCACATTTTGTCCGGCGTCCGTCTGTCTATCCGTCTGTCTGTCTGTCTGTCTGTCTGTAAACTTTTCACATTTTTCACTTTTCACATTTTCGACTTCTTCTCAAGAACCGCTGGGCACATTTCAACCAAACTTGCCACAAAGTATCCTTGGGTGAAGGGGATTCAAGTTTGTTCAAATGAAGGGCCAGGCCCTCATTCAAGGGGAGATAATTGGGAATTAATGCAAATTTAGTGGCATATTTTAAAAATCTTCTTCTCAAGAACCACTGTGCCAGGAAAGATGAAACTTATGGGGAAATATCCTCATGTAGTCACGTGTAGATTCAAGTTTGTTCAAATCATGACCCCCGGGGGTAGGGCGGGGCCAAAATGGCCGACCAAAGTTTTACATAGAAATATATAGGAAAATTCTTTAAAAATCTTCTCAAGAATGACAAAGCCATAATTCATCATATTTATATGGGAGCATGCTCAGGTAGTGTATATTCAAGTTTGTTCAAATCATGGCCCCCGCGGGTAGGGCGGGGACAAAATGGCCGACCAAAGTTTTACATAGAAATATTTAGGAAAATTCTTTAAAAATCTTCTTCTCAAGAATGACAAAGCCATAATTCATCATATTTATATGGGAGCTTCCTCAGGTAGTGTAGATTCAAGTTTGTTCAAATAATGACCCCCGGGGGTAGGGCGGGGCCACAATGGCCGAACAAATTTTTAAATAGAAATATATAGGAATTTTTTTTTGAAAATCTTTTTCTCAAAAATTGCAAAGCCATAATTGATCATATTTATATGAGAGTATGCTCAGGTAGTGTAAATTCAAGTTTGTTCAAATCATGACCCTCAGGGGTAGAGCGGGGCCAAAATGGCCGACCAAAGTTGTACATAGAAATGTATAGGAAAATTCTTTAAAAATCTTCTTCTCAAGAATAGCAAAGCCATAATTGATCATATTTATATCGAAGCAACCTCAGGTAGTGTAGATTCAAGTTTGTTCAAATCATGATCCCCAAGGGTAGGGCGGGGCCAAAATGGCCGACCAAAGTTGTACATAGAAATGTATAGGAAAATTCTTTAAAAATCTTCTTCTCATGAATAGCAAAGCCATGATTGGTCTTTGGACTACTTTTGGATTTAAGCCTTCAAGTATAAACCAATTCTGCTTTTTATCATAGCCACATTGCTCAGGTGAGCGATATGGCCCATGGGCCTCTTATTTATACATGTAAAGTGAACCAAGCTCTTTTAATTAGATACATGTTAAGTGTTACCTACATGTAATATGCTTTAATAAAAATTGCATTTATCTCTAGAAGATGAGGTGCACAAAACATTGTAATAATTGTTGACACAAGCATCAAACTAATAAGTTTTTTAATATATGTTGGTGTTATTTCTACAGAAATTCATTTTATATAAAAATTGTCATCAAAATTAAATTATTCATTAAAAATAAAGACTGAGAAAATAGTACAGTATGACTGTTTGAATGCAAAAAGCATCTTCAATGGAGTCATTGAAATTTCTTTCTGGAATATAAAGCATTTGATTACATACATGCACTATAATATTATGCGAAATCAATATATTTTCAAGCCTGTTCATTAATCACCCGAAAATGAAACACTTTATTTATTAACTTTTTTTTAGTTATAACATGTATAGTATTAGATATAACGTTTTATAGACAAGAAATCATGTTGTTGCCAAAAATAATCATTTTGCAGCACGTTTCGGCTTGTAGGCACATTCTAGTCTGTAAATTACCTCTTGAAAAGTTTTCGTTTCATATATAATTTAAAAGAACTGTTTATGAACAGATACATATTAAGTAGGCTGAAAAATACTTAATGGTTTAAAAAAAAAAATGATTTTTTCAAACTTTTGTTAAAAACTATAATTAATTTCATAAACAATAAATGTATTAATACAAGAGATGAAGAAGGATAAAATGCAAATGAAGTACTAGTATATACATGTACTGAAAATAAAGGTTATGTAAAAAAATATGTTTATGCAAAGGTAAAAAATATACTTTATTATTATTACTCCTATATCAATCCTATGTCTTCACCAAGGAGAAGTCAACGAAGGGTCATGTCTGACCATGTTAAGATTTTCCAGTTTTTAATCAATAGGAAATGAAAATGTACATATTGTTATTCGACAATAATAACTACGAACAAATTGTACGTTGCTGTGAAGAATGTTCAGGGTTATCCACTTTTCTGAATTTTAGAGACGCTACGTCTGTTTTGTCTTTACTGAAATAATGGTCTTCTCCGATTCTTCACCGATTCTCCTAAAAAAATTAACGTTTTCAAATAGAAAGAAAATATATCATATCAGAAATAATAGATAAAAAATAGAAGACATTGGTAAGTTGCGAATAGCAGTTAATTCATTCTGTTAAAATTTCGAAATTTTTTTTTTAACTTTATTGTGTAAATTACTTACTGTGTACCAATAATACAACAGATCATCACGAACTATTTCGTGATTCTCATGATTTTTGCGGGACAAATTGTTTGGGCAAATTCTTTTGTTGGTTGACAGTTGTGCAACTTCTCTCTCACTTAAGAAGCAATCTTCATCTTCATCAGTGATATCGATATCTTTACACGGGTATCCAACTTCATAGAGGACGTGGTGATGGAATGTGCATGTTATTTCATTTATCATTTTTTCGATGGTTGCCCTGATTTCTTTAGTTTTGTCATGTGTAAGCTGGATTGTTTTATCCGGGGTAAACACTTGCAACTGAATAGACGTTTTGTTTACTCCGATAGCAATGTTTCGGTCACCACCTTTATCTTTGTAAAATGCAACGTTTTTGCAGAGTAGGTCTTCACGTAATGGATCCCACACAGAGAAGCACAAAGCTACAAGTCTGAAGAAAAAGAAATGTGGGATGTACGTTTTGAAAGAAAATGCTAAAACCGGAGTTTTGTTGACATGTACAGTAATCTCCCTGCATTTTTTCGTATAGTCGGTTTTATTGATGCTAGGAATGTAGTAAACAGGTCTCATTTTCATTGCTCCAAGCTTCTTTCTAGCATCCTCTTCTTTTCGGACTATAGCAAGAATGCCAAGTTTTTCCATATAGGGTATAATTATGTCTTTCGTACTAACATAGAAAGAATTTTCGCCCCATATTTTTACAAGTGTTTGATCAGAAATCCTGCCAGTTTTCATGAAGATCTCCCATTCCTTGACCCTTTCGCAAAAGGGTTCAACATGAGTCGGATCAGTTATGATATTTTTAAATGCATCTACAAACCACTGAACGTCTATGATAATATTTTCCTTTAGACCTTCTTCTGCAAAATAAATAATAAGACCTATCTCTTTAAAATATCTAAGCATGTCAGATATCTCAAATTCGTCTAAAGATTTGAATTCCTTCTTTCTATGTAGTTCGTTTCTGCTTAGGATTTTCATCGTCTTCCTCTTGTTCTCTCTTAGTAAGTGCTCAAACATTGTCCATTTTATTGGTATTTTTTCACCCCAGTGAGATAGGTTTTGTGCAGTACGAACAATACATTTTCTGACATTTTCTATCATTTCTGCTTGATGTTCATTTAAATTTATTTTCTCAGGACATTCTACTTCATAGTAACGTGTTTTCGAAATAAGACCTTTCAATGTTTGTTCTTCTGGTAAGCACTTCTCGAATTTGTTATAAAATGAATTAGCACTGTCTATCTGTTGTTTCTCCTGCAATATTATATATAAATGTGATGGAATTAAAAACGAATGTACCATTTCTTGTATATCTTAGAAATCCCTCTGCAGTATCATATAATAATTTGTACACAGTTTATTAAGATAAATGAGTTCCTATAATGTCAATTACTGATTGGATTGATCGATTAATTTGGTGAAGGAAAGTAAATGGTTAAAGATGATACTTGTGATCTTGCCCAGTGAAAGCTAGTTTGCATACATATCTGTTTTTAATTAAGCGATTGGCTATCAAAGAACTCCAATTTACACTTTGAAAAATAATTGAATATTTGAACAATTATCTAATAATTAAATACCTAAGATTTCGTTTACTTTAGATTTTAAACATATTAGACATGATAAAAAAGGAGGCAACGATTCTCTATCCACCTTGAATAAAGGTCTCTCCCGAGACAGAAGATTTGTGTTTTAATGGTCGCTATGCTTAGTTTTGGAAAGGATATTCCTTTCCACCCATTCTGTTGCCGAAATTTGATCATTTCTGACAAATGAATTGTTCTTGTCATAAAAATTAACTTGCATTGAAAGAAATATAAAACTCAGAAACGTCGTAGAGACATGGGACCAACTGCATAAGATTCAATAACCTTAAAATTCATGTAAAAGTCAAAGGTCCTTATCCCTTGTGCAAAAAAACCTTGTTATCGCTACTCCTTCGAAACCGTAGACCGTAGAGACACCAAACATTCACTAATGTATTCAGGTTTTTAGACCTAACTTCACTGTACGAGTAAGTAACTGATGACCCCTTATATGAGTTATTGCCCTTTAACTTCTTTGTACTTACTATTAAACCTTATAACTTGAAAAATTTAAGTCGTAGAAGCATGGGGTCAATTGCATTGTGACCCTTGATCTTTGAACTTGATTATTTTTAAGGTCAAAGGTCAAGGTCATTCCATTGTTTTTTAAATTTTCATTTTTTCTATGCTTTAAGAAATCTTTGGTTTCTTTTTTTATGGAATTTAATTTTAAGGAGTCAAATATAAAACAAATCTGAAATTCAAAGAAGGTGAAAAGACCTATTATTGTTCTGTGAACAATAAGTTTCCTACATTGTAGCTATTATTTTATTTCTGCCTGACTTTTGAAACCGCAAGACTTATTAAAAAACTTTATAGCTCATAACAGTGGATACCAAAAGTCATTCCGAAAAAAAACGACCCTCCATATTTAATCTTTGACCCCTTATGCAGTTATTGCCCCTTTCACCGTAAAGCTTGCTATCCCTACTCCTTTAAAACCGTTAACCGTGGAGATACAAACCCTTCACCGATGTCTTCAACTAATTAAGGAGATTTTTAGTCTTATAATTGTGAAAGTTCTTTGACCCCTTCAATGAATTACTGCCCCTAAAAGTTTCTTAATTTCATGTAATTTTTTTTTTAATTAAAACGAGAAGTTGTAGAGAATATAAAATCAACTGCATAAGGTTCATCGACCTTTGACCTTCAAATTTATATCAAGGTCAAAGGTCAACGTCATTCCAAATATGAGAAATAAATTTCTTTCAATAGATTTTATGTCCTTAAACATATACTTTCTTCTTTTTGTCTTTAATTTGTACTCTTAAAACTCTTTTGACTATTTCATTCTTGTCCCCTAAGTTTGGCCCTTTTAAAAGTTATTGCCCCTTATGCGAAAAACCTTGTTATCGCTACTCCTTTGAAACTGTAAACTACAGAGACATGAAACCTTCACTTATGTCTTAAGGGTCTTAAGATACAACTTTAGAGTTTCAGTGCAAAGGATCTTATGACCCTTTATATGAGTTATCGCCCCTTATTGTCTATGTGTTAACTATAAAACCTCATATATTTGAAACTAAATGTCGTAGAGGCATGGGATAAATTACAATGTGACCCTTTACCTTTGACCTTGAAGTTTTTTCAAGGTCAAAGTTCAAGGTCATTTCAAAATCTCCGAAATTTTTGTTTTTATGCTTTAATCAACTTCTAGTTTCGTTTTCATGGTATTTTATTTCAAAGAGGTAAATATTAAGCAAATTTGAAATTATGAAAAGGTGTAAAGACCTCTTTTTGTTCTGTGAACAATAAGTCTCCTAGTTTATAATATTTTTTTGGGTGAACATGTTGTGCATTTCTGTCCAGTCATGTGCTGGTTTAATCAAATACTACTAGCAGTGTTGGTCAACCTCTTCGTCCCTACTTATGTGTTTGAAATCTTTTATTTTTAGATATTCTGCAAATTATAAACCTCGAGAAGTAAAATGTAGCTCCTGTAGGGCAACAATGAGATAAGGTAAATTTTTCATGGAATTGTGGCTAGAAAGTTACTAGATTGTGGGGACAAGGTAAACAGAAATGTTATATGGACTTGAATCCAGCGGCAAACCAATAAGGCTACCAGGGACGCTAAATGTATTATATATTTTAATCATTATTATACATCGCGCTTGAACATTCGACAGGTGATAAAACAGTTCGCGAAATATCTCTATACAGGTATTTACAAAGTCACTATTCAGATCAAAATGAAATTTTGCACATGTATAGTCATGCACATGTTCTCTTAAAATTCTATGTTCTGAAAATTTTTTATCCATATTTTTTAACTCATAATGTTAGAATAATGTCAAAATCTTTATCACTTATGACCAAAAATGGTTGTCTTTGTCGTAATCGAGCAATGAACGGCTCTAAAGTTAAACGTATATCTGAGAAATATTTTTAGTAGTATTCGAATCTGTAGAGTGTTAATAAAGCAGAAGACTTGCCAGAAATTAAGTCTTAAATTATAAATTGGATTTATTGTTGTTGTGAAGGAAAGTTGATATTTAAAAATTATGTTTGTTCTGTTTCCCAGTAAAAGCAATCTCTAAAAGAGATTTGTCCCTTTTTTAAGCACTTCGATATGAAATATGGTAAACTTACAGTTAAAAAATTGTTGAATGACTTAAGAAACATGATTATCAAATCCCTAAAATATCTTTGACTTTTAAACTTCAAAAAAATATGGTATAAAGAGGGGATCCATACTTTATCCACAATAAATAAACGACGCTCCCAGGGCCAAGACAGAGAGAACTCGGGCAATGATGGTCCCAATGCTCATTCTGTAAAGGATATCCTTATCTACACATACTATTGCCGAGATTTGGCATTTCTGACAAATTGACTGTTTTTGCTATATAAAAAAACCTAGCGTGGTAAGAAATATGAATCTGAAAAATCTTTCAGTTTCTGTATCAGAAGTCTACGGAGCATGTCATGTGACCGACTAGCTATAGATTTTGTTGCAGATGAGCATTTAAATAAGAGAGGCATGCTTATAAATTTCATCTCTGAAACCTTATATCATATCTCTTTTCGAAGTAGTTTTCACTTAGTACGCCAAATGTTTGATCAACCTTCGTATATTGATCTCGATGTCCGCCCGACTGTTATGCTTATGAGTACCCATCACATATCTGCAAAATCTCTTATATCAGTAAGGCGAAAGTTCAATAAGAAATTCATTTACTAGTGCATGTAATACGTACTTTTACACAGTCATGATGAGAGGCAATAATGATAACTGGACTGTTTATAGCTTCCTGTCTGTTTCTGTCCTCACAATACGTTTTTATTGATCGCAGCCAGAACAAGAAATAATCTTGAAAAAAGTGCAAACAGTTCTAAATTTTTTAATCTTTAGAATCAATTAATACATGTCATATACCTAACTTACGTTATATATATAAAGAATTTCTGATGAAAAGTACCGTATACGTTTTACATTTGGCTGTGTTTAATATTTATCGCCTTTTGGCGGGAAAAATATTCTGCCAACTTAAGTACAACGCCAAATATCTTGCAGATTTGTACATAAAAAGACCATAGAGAATTGCGCTAAATTTAACTCAAGCTTATTTGTTCAAAAGGTAATTTCTGCGAAATATCGTTCACGCCTAATGTAGTACCATTATCATGATTAAAGTATATACCATTCCATAATTTAATATTTGGTTCAATATTTTCTTTGAAAACTTTGTATCTGAAATGTATTAAATTGAAAATGAGTTCTTTTATTTCCGTCAATCTAAATTTTTATATTATTTTTAAAGTGAATGAAAAATTTATATAAAAAACAGCATGACAGCTGGTCAGTTAAGGGGGAGCCTGGGATTTTATTGAATAAAAACCAAAATAAAGAAACTCTTTATTTTTTAACCACATTAGATTATATTGACTTTAGTGTACATGCCAAGTTAAGGGGAAAATATACCTCCGGATCTTCAATCACAGAACATAGAATAATTGGCTTAATCAATATACACAAAGTCAATTTCCATTATGTAGTATTTCAATGCTCAAAATATAATTTACCGAAAAAATTTTATGTTCCATAATTTGACATGATTCTCCTACTAAATTATTAACGCATAAAAAGTTTCCATGTGCTGCTAAAAATAACAAAGACAGGTAACGTAAGTCTATGCAGCCAAACATATATAAATATTCTCTTGGAAAAGGCAAAATAAAGTTGCTTCACGCATGAAACGAACGAAATGAACAGTTAATTTCGAAATTGATATTGAATAGATGCTAAAATTTTTAATCTTTGGAGACCAGTTCTCAGTATTATGATTGATTGGTTGATTGATTTATTGATTATTGTTTAATGTCCTTCTCGAGAATTTTTTTACTCATATGGAGACGCCACCACTTGCCGGTGGAGTTTGTCCTATTCTCGGCACTCATGCAAAGCCTTCGAGCATTGAGGGATCTTTTTCGTGCCAGCACCTACTGCGACATGGGGCCTCGGTTAATACAGTCTCATCCACGTCCCACAGTGGGATTCGAACCCACGACGTAAGGATTGACTCCTTCCTTTGCGACTCTAGAGCAGATGCTCTAACCACAGTGCCACGCGGGGACATCAGTATTATGAAATAGACTTAGACGTATGTCAAATTTCAGTCATCTGTGAAATGTCTAAATTTATTTATATGAAACTCTATGACGCAAATTTAACAACCTTTTCATTTTTGACTTCTTGGGAAAGAAGAAGGTATGGTTTAGCTTTATTGTGCCGATTAGATTTAATGTTTCTAAGAAGTTTTGAAACTAGCTTTAAAAATTTTAGTTGAGTGTATGACTGAGAAAGATAAAAAAAAAATTATGGCATGAAGGAGTACCATTCTGGAAATATGACTTCAATAAATCAATGCATTTTTCTATTTCATAAGTAAAAATGACCGATTTGAAGGGGAATTTTCCTTAAAAAAATAGCCGTAGCCCACTGTAATACGTAGTGCAAAATACAATGAAAATCATATACCTCAAAATCTTTGTGAGCGATATCTGTGGACAATATTTTCTGATAGAAAATTTCATTGAAACTTGATGTCTTCTGCAACATTTTAAGAAAATACAGGAAATTGCACATACGTATTTAAGACTTCACAATTAGCATTTAGAAATGCATGTGAGAAAAATGAATTTTTATGCATGGAATTTCAATGATTCAGAATACATAAGTTTTTATTTTTTACATCAGTTTCATTTTTGGAAAACCACAGGGCAAGATTTGTATTGAAACCGTTCCTTATTCTTTCAAATCCTTATGTATTTTCATAAATTTAGCTTTAGATCCTTTCCCGGGACCTGGTCTTTCAATAATTATCTGATTTTCTATGCCTTTCCATTGTCAAGTGTGAGACACATTTTTTCCATGTTTTGATATTTCCTTATTTTATCAAACTTTATTTCAATGGTTACCAAACAAGAAAGCTTCATGATATTTCATGATATTTCATACTCTACGTGCAAACATGATCTGAAATGAATCAAGCTTATATACTGACACGCAAAAGAAGCGCAACACCCTAATTTAGGGAGAAATAATTATTTAAAGTAAAGAATTTTACATCTCAAAATGTGTTCTGAAGAAACAAGGAATGTATTTCAATGAATTACATGTGTCAAATTGAATGAAGAAAGTTTAAACGAAATGAAAAATCCATTAAAAATATTTGGTATAAAAAGTCCACTTTCAAGAGTTATCTTTCCTAATTAGCCAAGACTCAAAACACTATGGAACGTTTGACATTACATCTAAAATTCAGAATAAAGCTTTAAATTGCCAGAGTATACATTTAAATCAATAAAACAAATATATAAATTAACACCAACACAGTAAATAGCGCAATTAAATAAAATTTTAATTTCAACAAGGTTGTAAATTTTAACTCGAATTTCCTCCATACATACATGTCAGTGATTGATAGAGTTCACTGCATGCATGGCTAAAAAATTGACATTACTTGTTTGGCGAAGATTTGACTATTGCTTTCTTTTGTTTCTGCCTAAAAGCAATTTTTCTTGGAAAATGCATAATGAATCCGTTACTTTGTTTTCACTGTTTACAACACCGCATGTTTCATCTATTTTTAAAGCGTTTTAAAGGTCAGGGTCATATTATAAAGGTACCTATACATCTCGTCCCCTGAGCAAACCGGTCGACACAATGGAGGTTTATTTTTTTGTGTAGTATGTCATCAAAAAGTGGTGTAATGAGCCTCCTTAATGGTATTCCGATCATGAAACGAAGGACAGGACAAAAGGATTGCAGGGGATGCTCACTCCTCCATTGCATCTAATCCCACTTCTGTTGATTAAGAGGTTCGTGTTTGTTTTGTTCCTAATTTGTTTTAATTAATGGACTTTTGAGCTTGAATACTGTCCGTTATCTCTATTTCATATCATTTTAAGGAAACTGATTAATTTCTCTTTTCCTAATAAGAACAAGCACAGTTTAAAGGCAAATAAAGCCCTATATATTTCTAAAATATAAAAGTGAAAAAAAAAATTAAAATTCCTTCTTTCTGAATGAAAGGAATTCCTTGCAGTACGAATACACAAATCTTTTTTATATGACCTAAATGCTAATTGTGACACCATTAACTTGTGCATTTTCCCGTACTTTCTTAAAAAGTTGCAGAAGACATCAATTTTCAGTGAAATTTTCTTTCAGAAAACATACTCTGCCAGCGTCGTCCGGAATGATTTTCTGCTGTGATTTTTTTTTTGCAGTTTACATAATATATCCAAAACTTAAAGTGGGCGACGGTGGTAAACACAATGTTCTTAAGGAAAATTAACACAGAAATGGGTCATATTGAGGTTTTTCTGCATTAAACTTAGAAATGCTAAATTAATGACGTCAAATTTCTAGAAAGGCCATCCTTTGAGCCACGTTCTTAAATGATTTATCATATTCATCTACTCAGCTATTGTTCTAACCAATTTCATAGCTTTTTATGAATATTGAATTTTTAGGACACCTTAAACCATACCTTCTTCTTTATATTTCTATTGTTTGAATGGAATGATGAGCATTGGCTCTTTCTGTTGTCTTTGTATTTCATCAAACAATTGAAAGAAGAACACATGTTTTTAGATTTACAGTTAGAGTTTACCTTTGTAAGCCCAGCCATGAAATAAAGATCCTTTTGGGTAGTGTCGATCAGTATCTTGTGTGTGAACTACTTCATCAAGTCTTTTAGACATGTCCATAACAACCAGATAAAACGCTCTTCTTGAGAGGTAAATCTGATGACAGGCGTAATACGCTACTTGACCAGCGAAGTCCGTCATGCTTATGATCTGTTTGTCTTGACTTCCATCTTCCTTGTTTTCCGTTTTGGAATTCAAGTCTGAATGAAGTTGAAATGATATGTCAATATACCTCAAGATTCAATACAAGTAAAAAGAACTGAAACCAGTAGCAGCATGTGTTCATATATTATAGTCGCCCACGTGGCGCAGTGGTTAGAGTGTTTGTTAGAGTCGCAAAGCAAGGAGTCAATCCTTACGTTGCGGGTTTGAATCCAACTGTAAGAGGTGGAGACAAGTCCTTCAGATGAAATATCATAAAACGAGGTCCCGTGTCGGTGTTGGCAGAAAAAAGATTCCGGAGTGCCGAACATAGGACATAATTTGCAGCTACCCACCGGCATGTGTTTGCGTCTCTATATGAGTGAAAATTCTCAAGAGTGATTTTGAACAGCACACGGTAGCTTTGTGGTAGAGTGGTCGCTTTATGATTAGAAAGGCCCGGCTTCGATTCTAGCTCACGGCGCTGCGTCATACCTCAGACATTATTAAACATAGGTAGTGACTGTTCCTTATTATATAAAGCGCTCAGCACTAGAAGCGACAGGTCTTTCGGATATGACCTTAACAACGTAGGTCTCGTGTCACGGTAGGCGCTGGCACGATAAAGAGCCCTCACTGCCCAATTACCCTGAGTGCCAAGTACAGGTCAAAATTTGAAGCCCTTCAGCGGCATACGGTGACGTCTCCAAATGAGTGAAACTCTCGAGAGGAATATTTAACATAATACAATCAAATAAATAATCAATATACACTCAATCAATTATGTATTTTCATAAAAATCATTTTGTTAGCCCAATGTGGGTAGAGTTCTCAGTATGATCTATCATTGACAAATTTCTCTCAAGGCTGTAGAATTATTTACCTATTAAGGTGTCATCTTTTACTTCAAACAGATCTTCGTGGATTTCAAGACCAATGGTTGTCTCAGTTGAACTTGGACAGTCGCTTTTTTGTGTTCTTTGAAGCTGTCTAAGAAGAGTTGTTTTACCTGCGCCTGCACAGCCCACAATCATACCTCTAGCTCTGCACATGTTCTTACTTCCTTGCTTGGAAATTTCGACAAACCTTTTCCTTGCATCTATGTCCCATTTCATTACCTCTTCGGGTATTTTTACTTAAAAAAATATCTATCGTACTTATATATATATATATATATATATATATATATATATATATATATATATATATATATATATATATATATATATATATATATATATATATATATATAATATTTATTTTGTTGTTTATATTTCGTATCATTATTTACTGAATTTGGTTTTGTAGACGAAGAAACAGATGAAAGTCAATATTTTATGTTGATTTGATAATAGCTTTGTACGAGGGGTTATCAAACATTTCGTGGACTAGCGCCATAAAAATAAACCCGCTTAAGGTACATCAATGAATTTTGAAATATCTAGTTAGCATCATCTTTTCTATCCAAAGAATAAACCACAAATCATGAATGTAATTTTTAATAAATTAGTAATGTTTTTGTAAGCATTGGTATGTCCAGGCGGCGCAACTTCTAAAACGACGTTTTTTCGACCTATGTGTAACTGAGAAAAACTCTTTTGATAAATGATTATTTGACATTCAAAAATCCCGTTAATTCAGGTATGTGTAGGGACACAATAGTTTTATAAAATATGAAATTTTCACTTCATTCTGGAAGTTCTATGAAATTTTATCATTAATTTACATGGAATGTCCAAACAAACGAGGCCTTGAAAAGTCCTAAAAAGGGGGAGGGGTTTCCGTTTCCAACATTCTATAAAGTTTTGCCCCTGAAAAAACAAGTATAGACCTAAAATATGTTGAAACTGGCTATAGAGAAATAATATGCATCCAGAGTACTTGTCTTTTAATGTCAAAATAGATTCGGAGAGTAAAAAGATGCACAGTTCATGTCGATTTGCAGTCAAGGTGTGCAAAATCAATCCCGTCAAATATGACGTTGATCATGTGTTGTATATACTGAACTCCCAAAAGCAAAATATGCCGGCACAATCATGCGCAGGTCTCTCCCAATATTACTCCATCTGCATATTATACATTCATTAAAGGCCACTGTTCATTACATTGAATAGTCATATTAACAAGGCGGGTTTAAGTCCTTACTCAGCTTCAGGGAATCTCATCAAAAAAGTGTATGGGATATGAGAGGACATTGAAAAAACAATGACGTTATCGGACGTCATGAAAATAAACGACGACAGCGCCGGATGATCATATAATGTCGTTTTCACTTTATGATACTTTGGCATATTATTAATGTATCAGGCTACAATTTTCAACATTTCTTTATTTGGTGTTGTTTTATGAACCATATAAATTTTGAATGCATAGACTACATAGTACTAGTTTTATAGCCTATGTACACGAACTTTTTGATAACCCCTCGTTTATCCAATTATATAACAACATTGATACGTTGCAGTCTTAAAATCCCATCAGAATAATTTTAGTTTTTTTATTACCAGAGTAATTGTGGTCCTAAATGTTTACTTCATGTGTTTTAATGTGATTTTTTTTACTAAGACAACCCAATAGGGACAAATACACCCCTCTTGGTTTTTCAAAGAAGGTACCAATTCACCAATACTTTATGTATCTAAAACGAAAATTAACAAATAAGGTTGAAAAGAAGAAAATTAACAAATGAAGTTGAAAATTCCAGGTTCACATCGTCATACGGTGAGTAATAAGTGTACAATTTTTTAGATAAATCCTTGTATCAGTTTTTGAGAAACGGTCTGCACAAAACCACAAAATAAAAATGAAAAAAAAAACCGTAAAATGCAAAATAATCATTCAATCAGTATGACAATACCAGGTGTACACAATTAAGGTGAATAATATGTGTACAAATTTTCAGACAAATCTTTTTTTTTTTTTATAGTTTTTGAGTAATGGTCCGGACAAAATCAGATGGACGGACAGACAGACGGATAATATGATTTGAATATACCCCTCTTAACTTATATATGGTTTAAAAAAGAGAAAATACCATTGTAATCAACGTCTATTTAGAAACAATGCCGTAAATTACTTATCCTTTACTTATGTTACATGCACTTTTGCATTTCATAAGGAATGAAGATTCGCATAATTGTGGTTAATTTGGATTTGAAAGGCAATAAGTTAAGGAAGGAATTCTTTGAATAAATATATATCCTTTTGTGTTGTAAATATTTCAGAACTTTCCAATGAATAAAATTTCTAATTTATATACTTACAACACAGGCACTTGTTTTGGAAGTAAATTTTTACCCACCTTGTATAATAATAACACTAGGTATCTTACTCTAAATTACACAGAGTACCCCTTCCCCTGGAATCGCGCTCATTTACACTCTCAGAGGAAAGGCAGTGGCAAACTGTTTATACCTATGTCCTCTCCGGTAATTTATCTACACAACCATATATGGCTTTGTTGTCTTTATTTTTTGTCTTCGTAAAAAGCGTCAAAACTCTGCTCACCGAGTGCAAAATGCGAACTCAACCATAAAACTGTATGTGCAAATTGGTATTTGTTATAGTGTAATAAAGATATGCAAACTACCGATGGCTGTGTATATAAATTATCATAGAAGACAATCATGATTAACATTTTCCAGTGCACTTTCTCTGAGGAGGGTGGATAATTAGGAATTAGATATCTTGTGTTATTATTTAACTGTAGTACTATGAGTAACATGTATTTCCGAAACAAGTTCCTGTGACTTACAATAACTTTTGATCTGATTATGGATATTCTTATCAGACATAGTACAATGTATGATGATATCCAGCTGTAGTTTCTCTATGAAGAGGTCGTACATCCCATCCGGTCTCTCCGGTATATACAGACATCTCTCTCCCTCACTCCTCTCATAACCCCAGGACCGGCAGTATTCTGAGATCACGTCACGTGACGCCGTGGTCATGAAAAACTTCAGATCACTTCCTTGAACCAGACACTCCGTCACAAACGCATACATGACGTCATGTCTGATGTCATCTGATTTAAATATTACGTTGTTGTTCCGCTTTTCAGTTATTCCGTCAGGAATGTTTTTCACACTGATTTTATCATATATAGGTAATTCTGTGAAATATCTTTCCCTGAGTTTGTCCAGTACTTCTTTGTGGGACTCCTTACTGACATCAAGAGTATACTGATCCACCAACAGAATACTGTACAGGAGACATCTTACAGCAGGACTGTATTGGTGATACTGATCTGAAGTAACACAATTAAAATAGGGATGTCAACGAATAGTCGACTATTCGACTGTCAGTCGAATGGACCGGCGATCGAATAATGAAACGACATTCGAATATTAAATAAATGCAAGAAAAAAGGGCGATAATGAACCTTTCACATTAAAATTGAAAAAGGTCCTTTCTCAAACTATACAGCTGTATATTGTATGTCTTAATACGAATAAGAGCTCAAACACAGTCACAGTATATAAATAATTTTCTACATTGTACATATGAAAAATACATTAAATAAAAACAACGATAATCAATTCTAAATCACTGATCTTTTTGTTATTATACATAGTAAATTATGCTACAATACACTGGAAAATTATTTAATTGACTTATATAGCAATTCTATTTATTAATTATACTTATAAAAGCTAAGAATTTCAAATGCTTAGGAACACACAATATTTGCATAGCCATGAAGTTTTAATGTTCGATAATTATTAACACAATAATCTTACATATAAGACACTTTGATATATATAGCTTGGGCAAGCATCAATTGAACAAACAGTATTTAATATTTTCATCGAAGTTGTGGAGCGTGTGTTTACAATTCCCCATTTCAATTTTTTCAATTTTCCAATTTATTTGAATATACTGACACGCAAAAGAAACGCAACACCCTACTATAGGGTGAAATGATTATGTAAAGTAAAAATATTAAGGGGATGAAGGACTTTTAGCTGAAAAAATACCTGTCATTCAATTTTTTTTCATATTTTGTATATTTCTTATTTAGTATGTCCCACATACCTTAAAGCAGATATATAAATAGGTTTCTAGATTTATTTCTGAGATATTGGGTGACAAATACTATGTCCCACAGTGTCTAAGTGAAGTTTTGATTCTTAGTATTTCTGGGCCCATTACTCGGTCCATAATGGAATTTTTTCAGCATAGATAAAATATGTCAGCGAACATGTGTCTTTTAAAATATTTCAGAGTATGAATAGGGTTACAAATTCGAAAAAGCAAGATTCTTTTGTCACACCGCATCTGGAGACGGAAAATTACGTACATTACAAGACAACTTAAACGACAAAAAAAAAATTGAATTTGCAAAAAATCCTATCATTCAATATTTGAAAAATTACGTTGAAATGCAAGTTCGTCATGTTATTTATTAACTGTAAAAATATCGATTGGTGAAACTGAGCTCAATATTGCACAGGGCATAGTAAACATGACAAACGCATGAGAAAAACGTGTCATTTTACATTTCTCGAGTACGGGAAAACCTTACTATGACGTCACACATTTGCGAAATAAGCTAAGTAAGACATAACTATAATATATTTCCGTCAACAACCATGTAAAAAATATTTTTTGTGTTCTGTAATTCATAAAATATCCAACAATGTACTGATCATGACCCGTTTTTATGATATTATAATTTTATACTACCCGTGTTTTACCTTGTATATATAATCTTACTGTACTAAGATCCACTATGACGTCAGCGACTAGTTGGACGCGCAGTGTAGGGAAATAGAAGAGTGGATCAATCTATTCCGTAATTTGAAAATATTTGCGAGAAAGTTTGAATGTTTTTAGATATTTTTATACAAGATGGTGAACTCAAACAAACAGTCATTTTTTTCCCCAAATACTCTGGTTTCAATCTGGTTATGTGCATATTTTATAAGATATTATGACGTAATTAAACTGAGTCACATGGCCATACATCCTTCGTCCCCTTAAATCATCAAATTGGTAAATAGCGGTAATTTAAAGGTGGAACGATTTTCATACCATAACCGGAAGTCAAGTTTGAGTCTGCATAACAGAAATCAAAAATTGCATGTTTCACAAAACAGCTGGCAATATTATGGAGTTTTAAGGGTTTGTTCTGTTCAGCTTAAGTAATGCAGCAATATTTCAAAAAATAAAATCTCCTTTAGTTTCCCGTAACGATGCTAAAGCTTCTTGAAAATGGCTTAAGTGCGCATTTCCATTGCTCTAGCTAGAAAATCACAAAGTAAAAGCGATGGAGAGTTGATGATGCAAAAATACACTACATTACGTCTCAACGGGGTCTTACATTATATATTTATAAATGATAGTCTTTGGACCGGATGTCCAAGGTTACTACAATGCGCTTAGTTAGAGAAAATTCTACCTAATCATTTGAAAAACAGGCATTTAAAAATAGTAAAGAATAATTCCTTCGCTCAGATCTCGATATTGATTAACCTATTGTATCCTAGAAATTAAGCAGGTAATGTTGTTTAGGACAGTCTTGCACGTTGTAATTGAGTGGCTGGGAGGGGGATGTTTTAAAAGCCATATGTTTCATAGTTAAGTTAATAGATAAACATTTAACATTTCTATCAAATCTCTGATCCTCTGAAAAGTGAGTTTAGCTTTACTGTATTCTTTTTAAAAAATCATTAGATAATTCAAAAATTCAAACATTTGTAGATTACTCCTTGTTGCGTTTCTTTTGCGTGTCAGTATAAATAAGCTTTCAAAAAACTGCTATAAAAAGGCTCCGAATAGTCGATTATCGTTCGAATAATGCAATCGAATGTTCGACTAAGAAAAATCAATATTTTGACATTCCTAAATATTATGTTAATCTGAAAGTAATATAACTGCCCTAAGTGAAGATATATTAATATAGAAAGCACAGAGAAATTCACTTTTACAAGGATACTCACTTCCAGTTATATTAGTTTCAGAGTTGTTGTAATTTTTGCTTTATAAATAAAATTAATATCATCACAACATGTATTGGTAACAATCCTCTAAAAAACTAATAACCAAATAACTATATCTCACTTCCATTCTCAATGACCGTGTAGTGTAGGGCAGCGTTGTGAGAATTCCATCGGCATCGAAAACAAGTTTTTTAACTTGCCTAGATAGCCGAGCGGTCTAACGCGCTGTTCTTGCACTGCTAGGAGACAGATTCCGTAGGTCGAGAGTTCAACCCCGGGCTGGGGCGGAAGTGAGTATCCTTGTAAAAGTGAATTTCTCTGTGCTTTTTATATTAATATTTCTTCACTTAGGGCAGTTATATTAGTTTCAGAGTTGTTGTAATTTGTGCTTTATAAAGAAAATTAACTTCATCACAACATGTATTGGTAACAATCCTCTAAAAAACTAATGTCCAAATAACTGTATTTCACTTCCATTCTCAATGACCGTGTAGTGTAGGACAGCGTTGTGAGAATTCCATCGGCATCGAAAGCAAGTTTTTTAACTTGCCTAGATAGCCGAGCGGTCTAACGCGCTGTTCCTGCACTGCTAGGAGACAGATTCCGTAGGTCGAGAGTTCAACCCCGGGCTGGGGCGGAAGTGAGTATCCTTGTAAAAAAGTGAATTTCTCTGTGCTTTCTCTCTCTCTCTCTCTCTCTCTCTATATATATATATATATAATTTATTTATGGGTTTACAAGGACTGACCGCCCATTTTCGAAAATTTTCTTTTAATATATATGTTGTATTTATGCTATAAGACGTATGTCTTTTAAAATAAAAAATTGAATTGAAAAATGTTAGATTGTTTCTTTCATCAATAACTTCTCTTTGTTGTTTATCTATATTTGCATATTTCTTGCCTCTTCTATTAATTTGTTTTATGGGACGAAAAAAATTACTAGAACAGTTTGATCATATAATAATGTCTGAAATAGTGTTTAAGTAAATATAGACATTAAGAAATCCATCTTATATATCCAAAATAGATCACATACACCCCTACCGCAACATTGTAACATTTTATTGTTTATACATGTGTTTTTTTTTTTATTTTGAAAAGACATTACATGTTGTATAAAGCTTAATTAAGCTTGCTTTGATAAGGCTTCGGCAATGATTATTTAACATCACCTTGAAACTTGTGTTACATATAGTTTTACATAAAATCTACCTTAAACGTGATATGTAACCTATTCATAGTCCAGAACTTTATGAGAGTTAAGTTATTTGATCATTATTTCTCTACTTACTTGGTTTTCTGTAGGCTTTGTTGTCGATGATGTAAATGTCCCAGTGTGGATAGAGGCCTATACAGGATATCACGATGTCAGGTCTCGCGTTTTTTCCGTTTCTCCAGAGCCATGTCACGTGATCTACACTGTCGTGTGATCTTTCTCTGTAAAGCACAGACTCCCCTGTCTGTTTCAATTCCTTTAAATACGTCTTTCTTTCATTTTTATGTCTTTGTACAATCTCTTTTGGGATACCAACTTATGAAATGGAGAAAAAGTAATCATGTCCTCCACAATTTTACTTACATGTGCATATGGCATGTATATATATAAAATGTACTTATTAAGACATTATGCATTTTAAAACTTTCGTTCATTGTAGTAAAGAGCAAGTATTTCTTTATCCAAGAACAATGGACAGAGAAATTCTAAATACGTAGGATACCACGGTTTTTCTGTCATTAAAATGATGCATATTAAATAGACCAAGAGTAAAAAAAAATATAATCACCATCATTTCTTATTTTATGCGAGTATATATTTAATGTGGTGTCTGTAAATAAATTTAGGCAGAAAAAAGAAATCGATAATATTCTCAATTAATAGAATATGCTTGCTCTTAATTATATCTTATATGCATTCGAAAAAAAATGTTGTTAATTATAGGAAAATTATATGGATCCAGTATTTCCTTTTTTCAAAGTACAACATATTTTCTGAATAAATAACTGATCATGCAGAAAATTGTGTCCGCATGGAATTGATATGACAATATTGTTCTCGGATAA